GATGATGAAGATGTGGAAGATGATAGCATGGAAATCTCTGCTGGCAAATCCAATCGCCGGGCGAGGAAGCCAGAGCCACTAGAGGAAAGTGATAATGACTTCTAACTCTTCAGCAGCAGGACCAGGAGGCATCTTGGAATGCAAACTTTGGACAGCCTGGAGGTCAGGAGCTAACAGCCTGCCATCTGAAAAGTGCTTGCCAGTCCAATTTCAGGAGTTGGTATATAATGTTCATTAAACTTGAAAATTAAACTTGGATTGCTAGTCTTGTGCCTCTCGAAGTATGAGCAGTTCATTCATAATTAGAATCACAGTAATGGGGAATGCTGTTATTTCCATAATTGCCTTAGAAGAGGCCTGCATGCACCACAGTGCCAAAAGTTGCACTCCAGTGAGCACTGTGTGCTTGATTTCCCTGCGTTTCACAACATCCAGACAGACTTGTTGGCTTAGTAAATCTGGATGGAAAGCTGCTTTCGGAGCACATTTAAATTGACTTTAAATCTGGCTTGAATTTATTTATTGTAAACATACCCCTTACTAAATCAAGGGCTTGTCTCTACAAAGAGGAGTGCCAGTTGGTCCAAAGAAGTAAAGTGAAAACAAGGGAACAAGTGAAGGGATTCTCAAATACCACCTTCAGTCCCACCGTCAGGGTATCAAGGCAGTCTCCCTCTGTATTTCAGCTACGTCAATGGGAACTATACTAAACTAAACTGAAATGGGCCATGCTTGAATGTCTTGAGAGCAGCCAAGCAGGACTGCATTGTAATTAGATCCGTACAAAATCAGCCTTTAAAACATACTGAGACTTCTGTGGACTGAGCTGTAGGTACTTAAACAGGCCAAAAGTTTAGCCACTATTGCTCCCTTTCGTTTCTATATGTGCCTGTCTTCCTTTTCATCCATGGGAATCCAGGATCAAATGTCCAAATTCAGAAATCCCTAGAAGTTAATGGGTACAAAATGCTTCTTCCAATTAGCTCTTCTGTTGCATTTTTTAATGCTATTTTTTACTGCTTGTGTCATGACCCTCATCTTGCCCTCTGCACTACTGGCAGAAGGGGAGAGGAATTTTAAGAGAATATCTCAAGATCTTTAGTTTCCCTCGTGAGGATTAAAGAAAACGTATGCAAGGGCCATCAAGCAATATGATAGGAGCTGGGCATTACTATAGGGTAGTGATGGTGCTGGAACTTCATCAAAAATTTATAGGTAACCATGCTTTGTTAGTCTGTTGATAACAGAAGAGTTTGGTAAACTAAGAGGTTCCATAGGTTAGACTGATAGCATGAACAAAAGCACACTGAGGTTACAGCAAAATGGCTAAAGTTTATACAGTGTATTGCCTGTTTTCTTTTAGTTCTGCTGTGTCCTCACAATTTATCTTCACAGGAGCAGAAATCAGTGTTTGATTAGAAGAGTTCACTTCAGTGGGTGTTCATCCAGGCAGATGAGCCCAGGCTGTTCTCCTGCCCTTCTCTTTTTTTCTGCATCAGCAAAGTACTTTGCTTCTCCACCTGAAATCTAGTGTCAGGTCCAACCCCTCCATTGTGCTGAAGGAAGGAATGCACAAGAATTATTTTCCCTCCGTGTCTCTGACCCTTATGGTGGAATCTTCACACTTCAGGCAGATGCTCATCAGCAAAGCTCCGAACTTGAACTGTCATGTCAGGAAAGGACAAAAGTTTGCAGGTAAATAAACCAGCATGTTTTTACAGTGACAAGGGGACATATGTGGGTGCAGTGATGTACTGAAAGGCGCACAGTTATACAGGTTTGAGCTGAAGGCTAGGGCCATTTTACACCCTATGAAGTTAATTCTCTTTACTACACTTCAGAGGAAGGAAATACGGAGCACAGGTTTCTTAGTGTTAGACATCTACTGCAAATTTGTTAGCATAGTCTTTTTTTGAGAGTTTCCTTTCCCTGGTGCCAAGATTGGCTGTTTTTAGGATCTGTTCTGAAAACATTTTCCCATGTAATGCAAGGAATCCTCTCTGATCCACTTCTCATATTAAAAGAGATGAATCTTGCCAAGAGAGAGATTTCTTACAAAATTGGGTGCATTCTCATTCTAGTTGCAATTTTAGAGTTATGGTTTTCTGTCTTATTTCCTAATTTGTAGCTGAAATGGAAAGCTGACTTCATACCTTCTGTATAGAAACAGAGCTCCTCAGGCAGCGCTGCCACCCAGCCTTTCAGGTCTTAGGGTGGCCGTGGCTTCTGTTGCAGGTTCTTGTGTGAGACACAAACAGCAGTGATTTTAACTGCCACCTCCCAGGAAATGCACCCTGCAACTATTTGACACCTTCAGCTGGGAAGTGTCAGTGTGTAACTAGATCTTCGTACATGTGCACAGACAGATAAAACATATTGCAGATTTTGTATTAGCTCTGCATTTCCTAGAGCTCCAGGGCACAGAACTGAGGCCAATTGAGGGTTGTTATCTCTGTCTCCTGTTGGTGTTCCAGGTGACCTGAGATGGRTGACAGCTGTGGGTGATGCACAGGTTTTGGGCAGGGCTGGCCCTGAGCCACCCCATCTGCTTGGAAATATTGGTGAAAGAGGTAGGGCTTAAATCACTCCACATCACTGTGTCCTGAGGGAGTTTGTGACTCAGCCTGTAATTCATGTTCCCTCTGCCTGGRAAAAAAAGGCTTTGGAAGCACTCCCTCCCTTTCAGTTGACAGGGCCTTCTTCAGGCCAGTGGGTCATTTTTACAGTGCCTCATTGTTTGCATTAGAAGATTCTCACACAGCAAGCTCAGACTCTGAGTTGCAAGCTGAAGTCCCCAGATTTCAGCAAGAGTTGCCACAGTGGTGGCATGGAGCGATCCTGACTCTGGACTTCTGCCAACACAGATTTGGAGTTGGCCTGGCTCCCTGCCTTGGGACTAGGTGTTCCTTTCAGCTTAGGTCCTGGCTTATCCCAACCTGATGCTTGCCTGGGGCCTTGGGCAAAGAGCAGCTCTCTGCTCCCTTCCTGTCCCAAGTGCAGTGCTGAGCTCAGGCAGCTCTTCTTCAACACAGGTTCCTTGCAGGATGTGCTGGGAGAATCACTGTGAATATCAGCTTCCTTAGGAGGAAGTGTGTGGAGTTTAACCACAGCTAAACAGGAGTTTGTTCCAAAGCTCAAAGAAGAGTTGGTGCCTTCAGCTCTGCATCCTGTGTTTCCACGAAGTGACTGAGTGCTCTCAACCAGAGGCAGCTTTTCTCTCCATTCCATAGCAGGCAAAGAACATCTGGTTCTGTGTGCACCAGCTGGGATTGCCTTCTGGCCACCACTGCTGGGCCGGTGCTGGTGGGAGTGACCACTGACTTTAGTGGGGAACGCAGCTGGAAGTCATTCCTGTGTGCAAGGACTTAGCACTGACCAGGCCTCTAAACCCTTCCTTTACAGGCTATGTCCTCCTCCTCCCACCTGGAGGCCAGTCACCATATGGCCCATACACCTTGTCCCTGTCAAAAGGCAGGATGAGCCATGAGCCCTCCTGTCACACTAGTACATGGTGTGGGATCTCTTGTCCAGGCAGCAGGGCTCGGGCCTGACAGTGTCCCCCAAATGTCACGTGTGATGTTCTACAACAAGAAGGGCAACACAAGGCAGCTCTGTAGCTAGGAACCACTTTATTTTCAAGTGTGCACTTAATGACATAGGTCGTCCCAGCATTTCTGCAGGATCAGGCCACAGAGCTCCTTGAAGATGTCTTTCACGGGACCGAATGCAGCAGCAGTGTGCGTTACTCCGGCTGGAGCAGAGCAGAGGATGGAGCAGCTGCTGCAGGAGGACTCRGCAACCAATCCATCTAAACCCAGCTCCTGCTGGGGATGCACACCAAGGCACCACCTGTGACACCTGCCTTCAGCAGCCACCCATCCAAAAGGTGACCTGCCAGGGGAGGACCCGCTCTGCAGCWGGGGCAGCAGGAAGACATGTCTGAAGGTCAGCACCACTGATGGCAGCAGGCCAGAACTTTTTGACAAGCTGCTCCCCGCTATAACATGTAGCCACATCAGCTACAGATGGCCCATCCTTGTGCACTGCTCTTCCTCCCACAAACATCCTCCTGTTCCTCCCCATCATTTCCTTTGGTCTTTCTGGTCTCCATTTTTTGGGATTCATGCCTCTTCCAAGAGGCATTGATTGAGAARTTTGACAGATTAAACACTTCTGCCATGCTCAGCCCAAACCAACCTGCTCTTGAGGGCAAGACAAACACCACAGCTTGTAGTTGCTGCCTGGAACCCTACAGAGACCCTGCACAGGCAGAAGTCCTTGCTCTGATGTGTCAGGTCCAAAGCACCACACTGTCTGATCTGAGCAAAGAAACGACAGACCTCTGGTAACTCTCTGGGACCARAGTAACCTGGAAACCTGCTGGATTGGACACTGTTTAGCCAGGTGAGAAGTTCTTCACCCAGTTCTTCTGGGATCCCTACCCTCGTGACCTAGGTGGAGGGGAGCTGGCTCCATGAGCAGAGTTCTGGGGCACTGCTGCAGACTCAGTCTGGCACGAGAGCAGTGCTCCTGAGTGGTCAGGATGTACCCGACCTGGGACTGGATCTCAGCACGGTTCTGCATTCCCTGGCAGGAGAGAGATCACAAGAGGGTTGCTACTGCAGGTGATGGGGACTTGGTTCCCATTTACTATGTGAGAAGAGCCTGACTCATGGGCTCTTTTCCCCTCCTCCCTCTTCCTTGCCCTCTATTTTGCATTTTACCCATTCCTGCAGCCCTAAAGATCCCCTAAGACCTAGATGAACAGGGGCAAAGTTGCAAACTCCTGTCTTTTAACAGGAGCAAGTCTTGGCTGTGGATCCAGAGGCTCCAGGCCTCAGCACCCACTGCTGTGAGCAGCTCCTCCTGGGCTGTGCTGGGGAGCTCGGACACTCTCCTTTCTCCAGTTTTCCTCTGTCAGGTGCGAGTGGAGGGCCAAGCAGCTCCCTGCACAGGTGTCCTAGTCGAGGGGACCATGTCCTCGCTGCAGCCAGCCAAGCTCACACCTCCACAACACAGTCAGGTGAGTTGGTTCGAATGGCATCTGAGATCATCTTCGCTCCTGACTGGCCAATGCGGTTCCCCTGCAGGCTGGGAGAGGAGAGGAGGGAGCAGAAGAGGAGAGGAGTTCAGGCTTGGTCACAGGAGGTGACCAAGATCTTGAGCGGGTACAGGAGAAGCTCCCCAACTTTACACCAACATCCTCTGCACCCTCCCCACCCCAGCCTGGAGCTCTTGCTGGGACCTTGGTCATGGAGGCTTTGGATTTGGGACTCTGGAGGCTGCAGGTATGAGGCAATCACCAGCCTCTGGGAAGCTGGAAGGGCTAAGGCAGCCTGGCCGTGTAGTATTTTGGAGAATATTTGCCTTTTAGGGTAGTTCTTTGCCCTAGAGGGATTGCTGACCCTGCAGGGAGGAGCAACGAGACCTAGAGTTGTGTGTGGATGCCAGCASTCAGAGAGGAGAATACCCTGCCAGGGAAATCCCTGCACAGAGCTGGGAACGGGGCGTTACYGGCAGTGGAGAGGGTTCTCATGACCAGCCCTGGGGTCTTCCTCCCCTGTACCTTGCCGTCTAGCTCAGCRCTCAGCAGTCACTTACTTCACGTAGGTGAGGCCGTGGTTTCCCTTCAGAGCYGTGGCGATGCAGATGGCTCCATCCATGCCCAGGGAGTTCTCCTGCAGGCTGCAGGGAGGCGAGGAAATCAGGAAGCGTTGACCAAGGAGACGTGACTGCAGGGAGGGAATTCCCTCTGCAGCCACAGGGTGCTGGCCTCCTTTTACAGGTGTGCAGCTCTACTTGTCCAGGTGCGTGTGTGCGTTGTGCATAAGTGTGTGCAAACATGGCTGCGAGGAGCATGTCAGTCTAGTGGTTTGCTACAATGAGAGGGCCTGGCCTTGCTGTCCCCTTGCTGCCCTTTCCAGGAAGCCTGGACCTACACCCGGGAGAGCAGGATACTCACTTGAGCCTGCGGAGGCTGCGGTTGACCTTCAGTGCGTTGGCCATTGCTTTGGCCCCTGTCACGTCAATGGAGTTTCCCCTCAAGCTGTGAAGGAAGACAGGCCGTGAGGAAGGGCAAGTGAGGCAGGCAGCCCGAGGTGGCTCAYGGCTCAGCCAGGCCCTGTGCTATCCATGGACGTGAGGAGAAGGTGAGAGACATGGCCCCTTGSCAGCAAGCAGACATCTGGATGAGCTGGGGTTACGCTGCCCACAATCTGGATAGCACACTACGGAGGTAGCAGCAGCTCTGAGTTGGCAAGTAGGATCTCAGAGCCCACAGGTAGCGGTGTCACAGCARCAGGGATTTGAGGGCCCCACCAAGCACTTACTCCAGGTTCTGCAGGCTCTTGTTGACCATCAAGGCCTCTGCCAAAGCTTGGGCTCCAACTGTGCCAACTGAAGCTGCCTGAAGGCTGCAAGAGAACAGGGACCCTTCAGTGTCTGTCCTGACAAGGCCACCACACTATGCCAGGTGCCCAACACAGCGCAAGCACTCACTGGAGATCTGCCAGGGTTGTGTTGACCTTGAGTGCAGCAGACAGAGCCGCCATTCCTTCRTCACCGATGGCGTTCTCCTGCAAGCTAAGGCAGGCAAGCGCTGTCAGCTCCTCACGCGTCCCCCTGGGGCCTGAGCCCCTGAGATGTGACTGCGGAGCAGACACTGATGGGAGACCTGGTAGCCCTCGAAGGGTTTGAGCTGCACCAGCTGCYTACTTACTCGAGGCTGGTCAGGCTGCTGTTGGACTGTAGTGCTTGTGCCAGGGCTGTGGCGGCTTTTGCCTGAATGAAATTCCACTGCAGGCTGCAGGAAGAGAGTGGGACGTGAAGCTCTGTTTCGTGATGCAAGGATCCCCATCCCTCCAGGCTCGGCACTAGCAGCCAGAGAAGAGAGCCCAGCACCCCTCTGCTCACTGCCTCCAAAGTAATGGAGGCACCTGCTCACCCCGTACTTCTGACAAGGCCTTTGCAAGCCTCTTGGACTTGGTATGCCTGATGCAAATCCCATGGGAAGACAATTTAGGGAAGCTGCCCTCATGCTGTGGCAGGGTTGAGGCTCAGGAATAGTGTCCCTGCCAGGTAGCCACTGGAGGGGCTTGAAAATGAGGCCTGAGAAGCGAGCTAGMTCCCAGGGAGAACTCACTGGAGTGACGTGAGCGCCCGGTTTTCCTTCATGGCTGAAGCGATGGCCTTGCCRCCTTCGTCATGCAGCAGGTTTGCTGCTAAGCTAGAGGCAAAGGGCAGAGGACACGAGTTAAATGCGGCTGGATGCATCTTGAGCACGGCTGTGCAGCAGCGGGGCTGCGGGCACAGACTCACTCCAGCTTCTTGAGGGTGCTGTTGGTCCGCAGGGCTCGGGCGATGGCAGGGCCCCCCTCTTTCCCAATGGAGTTCTCCCGCAGGCTAGGGGAAAAGAGAGGAGAAAGTGGCCTTAGGGCACAAGGGAAGTGCCAAGTCCCTTGCCCGCTGTAACCTTTTATTTCAATGATGCTCTTTCTGACTTGCGTTTCCATCAGTGTCTGCATCTCCATTCCCTGCATCTGCATCTCCAGGGAAAAAATGCTGCCCGCAAACAGAAACTGCTGCTTTTCCCATCCTTTTCTAGAGGAGGATAAGCATAAGGTGAGAGCCCACGGTGGGGGCTGTGTGCAGTCACTTTGTCCAAGAGCTTTGAGTGATCCTTTGAAAACAGGGAGCTAAACAACTCATGAAGTGATTTCTGTTATAAAGAATGGACTAAATCTAGCTAAGGTCACTTGCCCAAGCAGCTATCAAGGTGGACTGGCCTGTGAGCAGGGAGGTTAGACTGGATCTAGGTGCCGTGTCCCGCTGTTTTCTGCTCCTCGGAGCAGCTGGGTTTCAGTTGCACATCCCACACACCTGAAAACCGTATGGTTTGCCAGCTACCTTCCCCACTGTAACTGTTTCATTTCTAGGTCTGGCCAAACTGGTGCTCRTCTCGAGGGGAGAAAATTAACAGCCAGAAGAGACTGTCAGTGCGAGGAGAGACAGAGGCTGCTTTGGGCATTCGAGAGCTCTCCTGTGTCCCTGGAGCTGCTGTGCGAGCCCCACCAGCCACCGTGGCAGCACTTTCCCACGAGGAGGCCAGAAATGCTGTCACTTACTTGAGGTTGGCGAGTCCCTTGTTGGAGCAGAGCGCCCACGTCAGCGCGGTGACCCCGGCATTGCTGATGGAATTGCTCTGGAGACTGGCACAGAGGAGGGCATTAGGACAGGCCTTTCYAGGCTTCGCCGGGTAAGCCAGGGGTTTGTGCCTGCTGCACTGGGAGCCCAGCTATGGGGAGCCAGGGGAGGGCCCTGAGGTTTTGCAAGGCTAAAGGAAGAAGAAACGTGGTAGAAGGAGCAGTGGGAACCCAGCAAGGGGCTGTGGGGCATGGCTGGAGCCTGGCAGGAGTGGCAGGCCAGGAGCATCCATCCCACTAGGAYGGGACACCGCTCTGCTGTCCCCTACAAGGCCCTGCTGAGCAGGGGTGACAGGGTTTGGCACCACTTCTAGAAAGCCTCGTGCCCAGGCAGCCCACCCTGCACCTGCCCAGCAGGGACCTAGTTTCTGTGGCTGCTGGTCCCTGCCAGGGCTGGGTGACGCAGTCCGGGCCTGCAGAGAGCCCAGGAAGGGCAGCTTGGCTGCCCGTGCCCGCCAGCCCCCTGCTCCACGGCGCGGGAGGAGCCGGCCTCGCTGACTGCTCTTTCTGGAGGTGAAACCGTTTCCCTGACTCTGCCACCTTGCTCTCTGCTGACCTCATTAGTCAATTCTAATTGCATTTCAGGGAAAAAGCCTCAAACTACTAGTACCCTTCAAAGGCAGGAGAAAAATCACCGTCTGGGTTGGGGCTTAACTCCTTCAGTGCCTTTGGTGATGAAGGAAGGGCTGCTCCCCACGTTGCTTTGAGCAGTCCTAGCTCTCCGCCCTGCTGTGCTCTGCACAGCGCACRCGGGGCCTCTTGGCTGCTCAGCAAAGCAGGCACACGGGGACACGGGAAGGGCCTGGCGGGACTGGAAGGGGCAGCTGAGGGCGTGGGAGGGATCCAGGCAGGGCTGCTGGAGGATGCTGCTGGGATGAGGATGCTGGACTGTGCCCATAATGGGTGAGCAGAGGRGAAGCAGGACATGAGTCTGCAGGATACCAGACCTCCTCAGCTGAGAGCAAAGTGGTTTTAATTAACATTCCCACTCTAAAGGTATTAACAATGCTAGAAACCCTACCAGGAAAGGTGCCAGAGTTCACTGCCACGTGCCAGGCAGGCAGCTTCTCCAAGACCCCAGGGGGAAGGTCCCAAGGCGCCCCCAGCCTGTCCCATCTCGCATCTTCCCCTGGCCCCGGAGACACGAGGACGGATGATGGGAGACCCAGCAGCCCTAGGGCCGTTTGAGCTGCATCCAGCTGCGTGTGAGTGACCTAGGGCCAGACCCCTGCAGCAGGACACTAGGGCAGCCGGGGCTGCTGAGGGTGAAGGACTTACTCGAGGCTCTGCAGACTGTGATTCACCGTCAGCGCTTCAGCCAGGGCAGCAGAGCCGCTGTCTCCTACGGAGTTGCTGGAGAGTCTGGGACACGAGGGGAAGATGCATTAGCAGTGGCCACGTCRCCGCCAGCCCGCTGCGCTCGAGCAGCACGCGAGCTGCTTCGCAGGCCTGCCCTTTCTGAGCCTGAACTGTGAGCTGTGAGCAAAATACCATCTTTAGCATCCTCCCCTTGTCCTGAGGCATGGCCTCACAGGGCCTGGCCCCCTGCCTTGTGCTGCTGGAGGCTCTTGGYCTTTGTCTGGGGTAGCATCCCCCAGGACATGCGCAGAGACCCTTCCTCTTCGCTATGTGGTGGGCAATTTCCCAGCTGCCTTCATGTGTGTGTGTATGTGTGTGTGTGCAGTGGGATATGCCAGGGGGGTGGGTGCTTTTAGCAGGAACATTGGGATCACGGCCGCTCTCGAGATGGGTGSGAGGCCAAATGATATCCCTGGTTTTGTATCAATGTTGTCTTGTAGCTGAAATAGCTTTTAATGTCTCCACRGGGCCTGGGACCCCACTGCTCACCTCTTTGGGAGGGAAGGCTTGGCCTCCCGGTTTGTTTCCTGGCTACCTGCTYCCTGTTGCTGCTCAGGTTTCTAGAGCATCTCAGCACAGCGGAGCTCAAAGCCATTCTAGTGTCCTTCCCACCTGTGCGAACCCCTCTGGACAAAGCTGTCAAAATCTGCCCAGGCTGTGAAACCAGCGCCTAGACCTCGCCTGTAACTCTTGCCCACAGGTCCCAGGGGAGCTCCCTGCTGGCATCACCGCCCCTCAGCTCGTCCCAGCCGTTCACGCTGCCTCTGCAGACTCTTACATGAGCTCCTTGAGGCTGCAGTTCTGCTTCAGCGCCTCTGCGATTTTCCTGGCACCGTGGGTTCCGATGGAGTTTTTCTGCAGGCTGCGGAGGAAAGTCACCCAAGTCAAACAGCTCAAGGTACATCTCCATCGGGGTGGCACTCGCGCCTCCTTGTCCTCTTTAGACTGTTCCTCAGCTCTGGCAGTGCCCTTCTACCCTGTATCCATCCTGAGGATGTTTTAGGCCAGGAAATAGGCACTCAAGGGTTCRCTCTGTACATTTTTGACTGTCTCTAAAGCTACGGGAGGTCTTTGCCATGAGGAGTGGTGTGGGGAAGGTAAAGTGGGCTCACTGCCTCCCCTGGTTGGGAAGAACTGGGAAGGGAGAGCTACAGGAAGGGCCAGGCTCTGTCTTTCCGTGTGCAGGCAGCAGGCCACAGGGACACAGCCGCGCTGGGCTGTGACGGAGCCAGGGGGTGGCCACACAAGCAGGGCCCGGGGGGACGTGTCCCAGGCACTCACTGCAAGGTCGTCAGCCTGTGGTTGGTTAAGAGGGCCTCAGCCAGGAACACGGCGCCTTCCTCCTTTATGGCATTGTGCTGCAGGCTGCAAGGAAAGAGGAGCAGAGCGGTGCGGGGCGYTGCTGCAGCGGGCACAGGGCAGCGCCGCCGCCTGCCCTGCGCCCCAGCAGCCCTGCCGAGCCGCAGCCCGCGGCTCTCGGTGCCTCTCTCTAGCTTGGGAAGGGCGTCCGGCCCCATGCATCTCTGCCCCGGGCTCCTCCACCCTCCTGTCCCACATTATTTTCCTCCTCAGGGCTTGCTTGGCCAGAAGTATTTTTTTTTCATTTAGGAAGGTAGACTTGTGTCAGTCAAGTAGTTCAAATTCTAAACCCAAATCAGCAATGAAAAAAAATCAACTGCCTCTGCAGGGCAGAGGAGCASCAGGCTCCTCAGGCCACTGGCCCATGATGGGAGGAAACTCTGGATAGGATGAGGGATGGCTACAGGGAAATTTGTCCTGGGAATCTGCTCCCAGAGGTGCTGTGGAAGTTGAAAGGGGGAAACTTACTTCAGAGAGAGCAGGACTTGATTTTTTTTCAGTGCATCAGCCAGTGCTTTTGCTCCCTTGGGACCGATGGAGTTGCTTCGCAGGCTGGGCCGAGGCAGGGGACAGACAGACAGACGTTAGCAGACAGAGGGCAGCAGCCGTCCCCGTGCAGGGGCTGGCTCTGTGGCWGCAGGTCTCCAGGAGGGTTGTGCCCTGTTCAGGCCAAGTGCCACCGCATGGCAGGACCTTGGGCCCACCCTGCTCCTTGAGCCCTAGTGCCACTGCAGATGTCCCTGTGTGCCTCTGGAGCTCTGTGCCCAGGGGCTGCTCCTGGAGGGACACGACTGGGAAGCAGAGAGGTGGCAGAGGTCCATTGCAGTCGCCTTTGCTTGGCCCGGCAAAAGGGCGCTTGGTGCCACATTCAGCACCACTAGTGCCAGTACTAGCTTTTGGTTTGGTCTTTATTAGGGAACTCCTGGKCTGGAACTGCAGCAGGTGGGATCCCTAGCAGTGAGCTCGCTGTGGGGGTAGTGCTATGGCCATGGCATCGGTTGGTGCTCCAAGAGCCCCAAGCCCACAAGGCTCTTGGCTGCCCAGCCTTCCCCACAGGCCGTGGTGCCCATGTCCTCCTCTCCCCCATAAGCAGGGTCCTTGGCACCCCGGTTTGTTGGGCAGATGCCAAAGCTGCACTGCCTGCTCTAAGGGGCACCCACCATCACGACGTGCTCCTCTCAGGGGTGCCCAGAGCATCACCAGACCAGCACTGCCACCAAATCCACCCCCACAGACCTGGCCATTTTGCTGGGTTGTTCGGGGGAATCATTCACCCCTCGTTCTGCACAGCAGCTACAGGCAGCAGGCACTRAGGCCAGGCGGGTACTGCTGCGGTGGACACCAGGCCAGCAGCTCCCCAGAGCTGAATTTGCCTGGTCAGAAATGCACCTTGGGGACTGAAGGCCACCCCTAAGCTCGATAGAGGGACCAGCTCAGGTGGCGTTTGGCTCCACTGTGGCCATAGGAATGGCTGATGCACCCCCAACACCAGTGGGCTTTGCGTGGCACGAGCTAGTGGCAGGGTAACTTACTCCAGTGCCATCAGGCTCCTGTTGACCATCAGCGACCTGGCCAGTGCTTTGGCTCCCTTATCGCTGATCTGGTTTTCTGCCAAACTGCCAAGAAAAAGAAATTAGATATTTTGTGGGGAAGAAAGAGGCTTTCACAGCCCCTGGTAGTTCTGCCAGCCCTGCTGGCTGCACTGGGAAGGATGTGGTAGGAAGAAGCACACCAGAGGAGAGTGATGGAGAGAATCAGTTTGGTTTGCACTAGGACTCCTCCAGGCTTTGCAAAATAGATGGTGCTTAGAGGTCTGCCCCCCTGGGGGAACACCAGGCAGGGGACTGCAAGGACAGAGCAGAAAGCTGATTCTAGGCTTGGAATTCATTCATGCTGTGACTCGCCAGCATCTGCACTGAGGCTCCTGGGTTTGGGTCTTGGCAGCTCCTGTTTCTGCCTGTTCTCCTAACGCACCTCAGAGCACAGGTCTGTGCAGGGACGTTCAGCCAGAGATGAGGAAGGAAAGGGGCACAAGGAAAGGAGGTTTCTACCTGCTGGGGGCTAGGGGATCTGTCTGCTTGGAGATGGGCATCTCCTCCTATGTCCATCCTTGCCACGCAGCCAGGACCTTGGGAAGCAAATTCCCAGGACAAGCCGTATGTGTCTCGCTATCCAAATTATAGGTTTAGGAGTGGCAAAGGGGCAGGAATCTGGCTTAAAAAAAACAAGTTGGGTGGCACCAGTAGCAGCCCTGCCTGAATGATGGTCTGCACAGGAAGCAAATGGAGGGCTGCTGGTGGCAGATGTCCTTGAGAAATGAGGTGAGACAGCCTGCCCAGCTGCCATGAGAAAGTGCTTTCCCCAAGATGAGGTGTAAGGAGTTCAGCACAGAGCATGGGGACAAGAGAGCCCACGTGGGGCCATCCATGTGGCCCAGCCCCCTGGGGAGTCAGTGGGGAAAGCTGTTCCCCAAGCCCCCCCACCCTAGTTTCTTAGGTCACTCCCAGCCTTYACTCTGTGCATCCCCCTTAGCTGCTCCCCACAGGAATGGCCCCATCTGGGCTGGGCTGGGTCCTACCTCAGCTTCTGGATCTGACAGTCCTTCACACTCAGCATGCTGCCCAGCAGCTCCATCACGTTGTCCTTAAAGTGGTTGTTGTCCAGCCTGGAGAGCAGCACAAAGCAGAAGCAAGAGGTGCTCAGGACAGAAATGCAATACTCAGGGCAGATCTGCCTGCTGCCTCACAGTGCTGGTAGGTCTACGCCTTCTATAGACGCCCGAGATTCTGAGTTACAGAGCACAGAAAAAATGGGAGCAGTCCAAGGTTCCAGCTTGCTTCTSCTCCTGAAATCCCATGGCAACTTACCTGAGGTTGTGGCAGAAGAGGAGCTGGGGGAGCAAACTCTTGCAGACATTATAAGTGAGGCAGTTGGAGAGGTTGGTCTCCTCCACGCAGACATCGGAGACCTGCAGGAGATAGGCCAAGGCAGAGCAGTTCACTGGCGTGAGCATCCCGGACAAACTCTCGTTCTTCATGGCTTCCTCCACTGTTTTAGCGATCTCCATGTGCTGCATTTCATACAGGCACTGCATGATGTTCACTGTCCTTGAGGAGATGACATAGTCTGTGTTGAGGCAGCCCTGGAGGAAGCTGATTGCTGGGCTCCTGAAGCTGTTGTGCTCGTCCTTTGCCAGGAGCCACCCCGAGAGCAGCTTGTTAACCTGCGGGGAGAGAAGCCCGCAGAGGAAGCGCACAAAGATATCAAGCTGCCCGTCCTCCGCCTGCAGGGACCTCTGAACAGCGTTCTTGAAGTGATTGAGGAAGCCCAGCTTGGGCCAGGACATGCCGCTCTCCGTGAAGAGGTCAAATATTGCCCGCTTGGCAGCCGTGTAATAGTAAATGGCAGCTAAAAACTCCTGAATGGTCAAGTGGGAGAAATAATAAGCTGTGAAGGACTGCATCTCCTCCTTGAGCAGCAGTCTGCTGCACAAGCTGCTCTGCAGCAGGGAAAGGTCTATGCCATAAGTCTTCATGTCCTGTTCATAAAACACATACTTCCTTTTGAGCAGGCTGTAGAAGGCCAGTCTGCCCAGGCTACCCATGATTTTCTTGCTGTTGTTCATAGCTTGCTCTATCCTAAGTGTCTCTCTCTGCTTTTCTGGCCAGTCACTGCTCAAAGCCATTTTAAAATAGTAGGAATAGATTTCTGATAAGGTCTTAGGAACAACTGTCATTTCTTGGGATTGCTCAGTCCTGTTTTTTAGATAATAACCTATGGAAGAGCCAGAAATCCAGCAAAAGCCAGGAACTGTACACAAGATGTGTAAAGATCTATTAGCTTTGATGTGGTGCAGGACTTGACTGGATAAGTCTCTGTTGTCCAGGAACATCTGGTCCAAAAAGTCTTTCATCTCTGTAGCTCTGAAGCCTCTTATTTCTGTCATGCGGTCGACAAGCCCCCCGGGGATTTGCCTGGCCGCTGTTGGCCTCGAAGTGACCCAGACGGAAGCCTCCTGTAGCAGGTTGCCCCGTATAATGTTGGTGATCAAATTGTCCACTTGAATCTCCTTCTTAGGATCAGTGCAGACTACTGTGTTGGCAAAATCCAGGGGAGTCTTGAACTCATCCAGGCCGTCCAGGATGAGCAGCGTCCTGGCAGTGCCCGCGGAGATGCAGTTGGGCTCCGTGATGTGGGGGAACGCGCAGCGGATGAGCCTCTCGGCGGACAGTTTCTCATAGGTGTTGAGCTCCCGGAAGGTGAGAGGCAGCACAAAAAGGATGTCCCTGTTGATCTCGCCCTTTGCCCAGGTGTAGACGAAGAGCTTCACCAATGTGCTCTTGCCGATGCCGGCCACCCCCACCGTCATGGAGATCCGAGGGGGGATGCTGACCTTGGAGAGAGGCAGGAAGAGCTTCTCCAGAGGGATGSTTTTGGACGCGTTCCTTAGGCCTTTAGTGACTTCGATCTGCAGGATGTCGTGCTCCTTCTGCTGGATATCTGTCAAGCCCTCCACTAGCAGGAGGTTTGTGAGTCGCTGCGGGGGCCCTGTCTCTAGACCGTTCCCATAGTAATYCTGGAGGCTCTCCAGGTGCTTCTGCACCATTGGTTCTGTGTGGAGAGAGAGCAAATTCAGCAGGGATGAGGGGGAGAGCAGGAGGAGGAGCATTGCCATGAATGGAAACAGAAGACATGACCTTTGTGCCATTCCTATAAAGAGGGCAAGCACATGAAGTGTGGTAGGCAGCAGTGTGTAGCAGGACCCTGAAAGCCCTCTTAGGCTTAGGTGTCCTGAGCAGCCTCCTCTGGGACATCCGTAACAGCCCCTGCCCAGAGACTCCATCTGAGCTCGGCACTGGGCTGGGGGCATCCCCAGGCCCGCTCTGGGTGTATCTGATTGCAGCGCTCGAGGGGATGTGGCTGCAGTGGCCTTTCTGTGCCCTGCTGCGGTGCCAGTCCCTCAGGATGCTGTCTGTGTGGCGCTGAGCATCCAGGTGGCTCCCAGCACTAGCTTAGCAACAGTCATTTACAGTTTTAAATGAAGTGCAAGATGTCTTGTAGAGATCTGCTCGCTGGTGGCTGGCAGACACGGAGCACAGTGAGAACTGAGCTCCTGATGCCCCTGTTACCAGCCAGGCAGCTCCTTCCTGATTGCATTATTCCATTTCCCTCACTGAAAGCAGCAGGGAAGTCGCATTTCACTACTTAGGTGGCAATTTATTAAGCACAAACCTGAGAAGTTACTTTGTGTTTGATAGGGCTGATGTTAGGGCTGGTGCCTTTGGTTGGTGAGCCCAGAGGAGATGCCTCCAAGCTGCAGGTCAGCATGTCTGAGTGCTCTCTTTTTGTTTCTTCCCCTTCCCAGGTTGAGGAATAGTCGCAGAGGGTGCATGTCCTGCCTGAGGTGCTGCTGTATCTCTGATAATGACACTGCTGCRCTGAAGGGGCAGTGAGGGTTCATCCAGGTCCATCAGGCTGCCTGAGCGAAGCCTGAGCGAATTCCTTGGAACGTGCCATCTGCCAAGGTAAGGGGCCTGTGCTGTATTCCCCTCAAAGTGCCTCTTTCTCTCCTGTGACTCACTCAGGCCTAGATGCTGGCTTAGCCCTTGACCACCACTCTGCTCTGCCTGCAGGAGCATGAGCCATTGCCCCCATGTGGCCAGTGATGAATGCCAGGGGTGCCCATGGAGGTGCACCAGAAGCTGGAGGAAGGTCTCTCAGACCTGCCATGGAGCTATTCTCATGCTGCCCAACCAAGGTTCGAGGAGCCCCTGGAACAAGCCCATCATTGTGCAGGGCATCTGACCTGACCGAGCAGCTCAGTGCAGTCTCACTCTGTGCACATCCCAAGGATGCTCCAGCAAGCACCCATAACCAAAGAACAGACCCACAGACACCCATCTTCAGGCCCCAGAATGGCCTGCCTACCATAAACAGTGATGTGGAGGTAGAGCTGGGAGTTGGTGGTCTCGATGAAGGTCTGCAGGGACTGCGAGGCGTAGCTGCCCTTGCCAGCCAGGACGTCCACCAGGGCCCTCACCTGCTCCGGCACGGAGCTCACCTCCCGCACACGGTTGGCCTCCGCCGCYGTGAGGAGCTCCAGCTTCCGCAGGTAGCACATGATCTCCTCCAGGAACTGCGGTGAGATGGACCTCGCCAGCTGCTTCTGGTAGCGGTTGATCCAAGCCTCTGTGGGAGAGGAGAAGGGGGCCGGAGCCTCTATGAGCCCTGGGTACTCTGTGAGTGGGCAGTGGGCAACCACAGCAATGGAGCACCTGTGAGCAGGGGGTGAACTAAAGCCCCTCAGAGGGATCTGCCACCTAACGACATCCTCCTTGGGAAAACACCATCTTTAAGCTGTGGCAGGCTATTTTATTAGGAGCTGTTTGGCCAAGACAGCAGCTGTAGAAAGCAGAACCAAAGGAACCTATGATCATGAAATTACRTTTCTCCTTGGAAGCAGAGTAAATGTGGAGATAACCATCTAAGGAAAACAGTTTGTCTCCAGAGAGAGCCTTTCCCACTGTGTCTGCACAGCAGTCCCCAAGCCTTTGGACCAAGAACCTCTATCAATCTTCACACTTTGGCMGCCCATCTCACTGTGCTTGTAAAAGAAGACTACCAAGGAGATGGATTTCCTTGAACTGCCCATCTGTCTGGCCAATGGACAAGAGCTTGAGAACCAGTGTTCTGTGGTATGGATGTTGTGCCACTGCATCCCTCCTGAAGGGAAGAGGGATGGAAGCAAAGAGACTTGCACTACTGAAGACATCCCTTCAGTGCAAATTCCTCATGTCATTGCAGCAGCCCACAGCAGTGCAGAGCCACAGCCTGGCGACCCTGCAGCTTTCCRCTCTTCCAGCTTCAGCTCTGCTCCATCTGGCTGCCTCTTGCCTGCCCTCACTGCCACTCACCTTCCATGAGAGGCCTCCCGAGACATCAGTGATCCCTGGGCAAGGGGAGCTGTCTGCAGCAGCGCGGCYGTCAGCCCGTGCCCGCCACCTTCCCATGGACTGGCTGGCGTCCCCACCAGCCCGTCACACGAGGCTCCCTCCGCTGCACTCAGCCTTTATCCATTTTCCTGGTGGGACAAGAGGAAGAGCATCAGGAGCAATGTGGGAAGAAGGCAGCCCTGAGCTAGCGCTTTGCTCCCTGGTGTTGAGCGAAGGGGCTGTCTCCTTGCAGCGTGCTGGGAACATGGGGGACAGGGAACCTCCCAGGGCGTGAGAGCTCATCCTGGTAGCTGTGGGTGAGCTGTGTCCTGCTGAGAACAGCATGTGCCAGCTSAGGCCAGAGACGTGTGTGCACAGCCAGGCTGCCCGCTTGGGAGCTCCTCAAGGAAAAGCCTCCCCCCAGTGCTGGCACATGGAGACACTGGCTGAGCCAGTGGCTCCGAGCTGTCCCCAGCCCCTGCCATGCTCCCAGTGCAGCATTCTGGCAGCCCAGAGCTCCCAGTGCCAATCTTGGCACTGCCCTGCCTCATCCTGGGATGTTAAAAGGCGACGGCGTTCATGAGCTTGGCAGAGGTGGGTCCGTGGTGCTGCCGTGTCACTGTCCCACTGCCCAGACTCCACTCACCTTCCTGGTGCCTCCACCACAGCCATTTATGCCAGGGCTTTTCTTGGGCAGACAGGGATCATTTTAATTGTCTGTATGATCGCAGTGGTCCCCAGGCCATCTGAGGGGTGCCTGGCAAGCACTCAGGGGCCAGCATCATCACCCCAGGGGCAGCAGGACTCGAGTTTTCTTTCTCTTTGCTAGAAAGGAAGCTGAGGCAGAGCTCGGAGGGCCCATTTCAGTTTCAGGCTCCCCCGTTGCCTCCGTCCCGCTCGCTGAGCGGTGGCAAACACCACATCCTGTTGCAGAGCACTGCAGACGCTCCGTTTCTGGCACTGCAGATTAATCATACTCCCGCTCAGAGGGGGAGCACCCACCTGCTCCCTCCCTGTGGGTGCTGCAGGATTGCTGCCGAACCACTCCTTTCTTTCCTTGTGCGTGTGTACCTCCCTGCTAAATCCAATTGCTTTATAGGCAGGGAACACCTGGATGTGGTCTACAGGGCTGTCTCGCTCGGGATGCTCCCAGGTGACACGTCCCCTCAGGACACAGGAGCTGCTTGTGTGGCCACATGGGTTTGCATGGATGGGGTAGGGGAAGCAGGGGGCTGTTCCAGCCCCCTGGGCTAGATCACATAAATCTGGGGGCTGTTCTAACCCACAGMCTTTCCCTGGACAGAGCTGGGCTCTTGGGCACGGCCAGCCCTGAACCCAGCACGCTGCCCCATAGCMCAGGGCTGCCTTGCCCTCTGCCCCACAGCTGGGGTCTGCTGCCAGCGGGAGACAGGAGTCAACTCAGGGAGCTCCCTGAGCAGGTCACTGCTCAGCTTGCACTCTGCTGATGTCTTCTCTCTCACAGGTGCATAAGTTCAGTGAAGCCTTTGCAGGCAGCAGGCACCACTTCCCCTCTGCTGTGTGACCAGTAATGTGGCCAAAAGACAAGAAGGTGGGTTTTTCTTCTGTGTTTTTTTTTTTTTTTTTCCTTTTTTCCTGTTTGTAGTGATGTTTCTCTGTTGGGTCTTTTCTTCTAAAATATGACCAGATAAAAAAGCCCTTTGGGGACAACCTGTTCTAATGCCAGAGATTATTTGATCATCTTCTCCAGCGCTATTTCAAAATATAATACTGCTGCTGGAAGCCTGCAGCTTCTGTTTAGCTCATGCAAGGGGGTCTGACCTGGAGAATAAATCAGAGCAAATATTGTCGTGTCAGCATTAATGCTCTGCTTCCAGTAGAGAAGTTTCTCTTGGAAACTTCTAAGGCAACTCAGAGGATGCTGAGTGCTCTGGAGGCTGCATCCTAGTTAGGTCAGCCTAGCTGATGAAAGGCACCTGCAAGCCCCAGGGAGGGAGGKAAATGGGGGTTTTTGCTCACAAGAACTTGGCATTAGTGCTTTTGTTTGTTTGTTTGCTGAGCTCCGAGAGCTCGGCCCAGGAGTAGTGCTGGGGCACCTCTCCTCAAGTATACCTCAAATATCACCTCTCCYTCTCTTGTCCTTTACATCCCTTGCTGAGCTTCCCAGGGAGTAATGATGAGAAATATTGGGAAAGGGAAACCTTTAAGTTGCTTGCCCAGTAGTAAAATAATCCCTTTCTTTCTCACTTAAAAGCAGAGTGCTGCTGTGTCACTGATGGTCCCAGGAGCAGCTGTCCACCCAGTGGGTTGCTACAGGACGTGGGTCTCTGGGGACATGGGAACCGTCTCCCACCAAGCCGGGGGAGGTGACGTGCRGGAAGGCTTTGTCTGTGCCCCTTGGCACAGTGGATTTCTGATGATGTTTCTCTCCTCCCACAGGAAATTCTTCCATTGAACAAGACACCAATGTCTCCTAAAGGAGCGTCAACCACGTGTCCTCATTCGTGCCATGCCCAGTAGCAGGTAAGAGGTGCTGCTCCTCCTGGATGTGGCTCCGTGTCCCCAGCACAGCCTCCACGTCATTGCCTGGGGGCACCAGTGCAGGCAGATGGGGTAAGCAGCTCGTCTCAGAGGGCACGTGTGGCCACCGCTGCGCTGCGCAGGCTGCACCCCGACCGCAGCGGCCCTGCTGCCAGCGCGGGCGGCCCGGCTCTCACCGCAGCTGCGAGACGCTCGGGCAGCTGCACATCACACACCCTACCCCTGCTTGCATCTTGCCTGTGGAGCCGCAGAGTGGTTCCCCCAAACAGGCAGGCAGTCTGCTTAACACCCCGACAGGCCCCTTGCTGCCTGCAGAGCCTTGGGTGCCAGGCTGGCCCCGGCACTCTGGGATTTGCAGCACTTTGCTTGGCTTTGCGGGCACCAAACTGTTGGGTAAGAGCTGACTGCCGTCCTGGAGAGCTGCAGGGCTCTGCATATGGCAAAGAGCTGAAAGCCCAACTGCAGCATGCAGGTTTACTATAAACCCCCTTGTTCCTGTGCTTGCCTCTCACTACCTTGGCTGGGGATGCCTGGAGAGCCAAGGAATCAAAACCTCTGATCTGGTGCAATGTCTTTCAGATCTTCCTCCAGCTGGTGYGGCTGAGCACCCCATCTCTTCATGGTTTCTCTCCTCCAGACATGGCAAGAGCATTTGCTCAGACAGAAACCAGCCTGTGAGCTCTTCCACCATTTCCTGATGAGTGCCGGGTTTCCTCCCCGCGGCGTCGCTGAGACTGCGCAGTGGCAGCCACGTCCCCCCGTGCAGGTCAGTGAGAAAGAGTCCCACGGTACTTGATCCACCTGTGACTTGATCCCAGCTTTCAGGGGCCCTTGGTCATTGAGCTATACCCAGAAACAACCAGGCCAAGACATTCCTCTCAATGATCACGTTTGCAAAGCGCTAACTCAGGCTGCCACCTTTTGGCAGAAACTAAAAGTATCAAAACGCTATTTCAGTGAAGCAATGATGTATTTTCTACAGTATTTTACATTCTACCCGTTTATGAACCTTGCAGATTTGCAAGTAATTCCCCTATCACCTAATTTTGCATATGACTTCAGGCTTTAGTCCTGCTTTCTGGGTTTGATGGTGCAGAATTACTGCAATTACAGATAGTTTTCCAGGTACAAACTGTCAGCAGGCCCTCCTGTGCTTACCAGGCTTCCTCTGGAACTAGAGAGGCCATTGGAACCAGGCAGTGCTTGGAGCCCTTCTCGTGTAGACGTGACTCAGTGTGAAGCATCGCTGCAAGGTCAGGAGCTGAGACCTGCTGCACTCACGCCACACGCTGCCCAGGGCGGCCAGGTCTCTCCTGCTGTGTGACTAGGAGGCCATATAGCAGCGGGCAGTGCTAAAGGCTGAAGTCCCCCAAGGGTCCCTGGATAACGTAAATCTATCTCCTACCAGGCTTTTGGGTTTTTTCCCCCCAAAACTCGATCAGAAGAACAATCTGAGCTGCATAAATGTGTTACCTCTGCGATGGAGCTCACAGCCTCACTAGGACAAACTTATTCCCCAAATATTAATTTCATCTCAAATACTGACTGCCAGGCTGAGCAGAGCTTTAAGGAATTTGCGGAGTCGGTCGATGTTTCTGCTGCTCACACACAGCCCTGTGCCCAGGGGAGCCAAGCGCTTCCTAACGATGTCCATGGTGGAACAGGCACAGAGTGAAGCTGGAGCCCTCAGGCACCTGTGGTGCTCTTGCAGCACAYGCTGCACAGCTGCCCATGCCCGGGCACTGCACGGCTGCCTGCACCCRGGCACTGCCACGCTGCCGCCCCTCGCGCTCACATCTGCCCTGCACAGAGGGTTGGAGGATCCCGCTGCACGAAAAGGCCTGAGGAGGGGCCGGACGCAACTGTTCAGACTTCTGAGTTCATCCCCAAGGCTTAGTGCGTTCCCTGAACCTCCCTACCTCTGGCCAAGCTGTAGGACAGGGCAGCAAGCCAGGATGGTCACCTGGGAGCCCAGCTGGAAGAGCTGGGCTGTGTCACCGCAGCCAGGCCAGGGCCTCGGACCTGAGCACGAGGCTGCTGCGAGCCCCTCTCCTTGGGCGGCGACACTTCTGTGAGATGGCACAGGAAATCAGTCTCTCATTGCCTGTTCCTGTCACCTTTCTCCAACAGCTCCCCGTGCCACCGCGGATGAGCCCAGCGCAGCGCCTCCGTTTCATGGAGCTGTTGCAGCAGTTGGTCGCCAGTGACCCTTCTCCTTGGTAAAGCATCAGAGCTGCCTTCCCGTCCCTCCAGCCCCCCTTAAGCCACCCCCTTCATGAGGAAAAGTGCAGAGYTGAAAGCATCCCCACCCAAACCTCACCTGGGCTTCCTGGCAGCATCTCCAGGTCTCCGCGCGAGCAGGAGGGCAGAGCAGCCAGCCCTAGTCACAGCCGCCGGCYGCAGGGCCTCTCCATGGCCCAGGCCTCACGCTGGCCTCCACCGCGGCAGCCTCCTCGCAGTGCGACTTGTTGACGCCTTGGTGAGGTCGCTCAAGAAAGAAGATGGCAGCAGGATGCCCCTGGATGACGGGACCGTCCCCGCCCCTCCAGAGGGGCACAGAGGGGCTGGCAGGAGGCGGTGGCCGCAGCGCTGGGCACGCGCAGGTGAGCGCAGCGGCGSCCTCGGCCCCGCGCTGAGGCTGTTCCCGCTGAGCGGCTCCTCTGGCCGTTTGCTCCTCAGCCCTTGCTGCGCCCCGGGGCTCGCTCGCCCTTCCTTCCTGCCGCGGCGCGGGCGCTATGCAAATCGCTGCGAGGAGCTGCTGAGGAGGCCCTGGCCTCGGCGCAGCGGCTCACAGCCACCCACATCCTACGCGGAGGCCGCGCCACGTTGGGCCCGTCCCAGCGGCTCGGGGAGGTAGGTGCTTGGTGCACGGCTGCTCCCCCAGCCCTGGTTGCCCTCCCAGMAGGACTACAGCTCGTCTGGACCACGTGCAAAGCAAAATAGATCCCACTGCAGCAAAACCACCAGGAGCACACCCRGAGAGCCAGGCTGTCCTTGTGTTTCTGCTTGGTGCATCCTCACCAGCTGTGAGCACCAGGCTGGGTTTAAAACCACAGGGAGGTCTCACTAAGCACGCTGGTGTCACCGCAGCGCATCCCAAGCTGTTTCCTTTTGCGGGGCAACACACAAGTGCATTTCCCCCCTCCACTAGCAAATTCAAGTTGTGTCTTGAAAACATTAGAAGAGCCAAGGGAATGGGAGTTGTCCCTCCTTCCTCCAGAGCCGTGCTGCCCGTGTTGCACGGTTGCTGTCCTGCGTGGTTTGGCTCTAAGCTGCTGGACCAATGCTCGCCACCGAGCAAGGTGATGGCGGCCAAGGAGCTGGGGTGGCTGCGGCCAAGGGGGTTCGTGGCCAACGTGCACAATAGCACATCCTGTTGGGAGAGCTGCCCCCCGGGAGCAGTGTGGGTCCCACAGGTAGCTCTAATCAAGCTGCATCTGAATGGATAATTGCAAACCTGAACTAAAGCAGCTCACGGGCTGTTAACACAGGTACCTGTTGGAGGCAGCTCCTCCTGCCTCCTCGCTGGGCCTCGCTCTGCGGTGGTGGTAAATGGTTATTTGGCCTGATGACAAGGCCGGCTGGTTTGTGGTTCCTTTCTGAGCAGGGCTAGAAGGAAGGTTTCTTCTGCAGCCACCCTGCACTAAGCTCAGCTCCTCCTGCAGCCTTCTCTGCACCCTGTTCCCAGCGCCTGCACCCAGTACCTGCACCCAGGATCCCAGTCTGCCCTCCAGCTTCCTGACTGCCCTCCACCAAGACTGGCCAGATCAGTGAGTGGACACGAGCGGCACCGGGGGAGGAAGCCAGGGTGAAAGCGGGAGCTCAGACCTCCATCCTGGGGCACAGACCTTGTGCTCTGCTAAGGGGTTAAAAATCCCTCAGTAAGTGGGAGATCTGTTAGTAATTTGTCCCTGTATCCAGAGGCTTGTTTAAGGAGGAGATGGCATCTGGGAATTCACTTCAGCTGTCACCGTCTCTGTAAGCTGTGGCTAAAGATACCTCACATGGGAAATAGCGTCTGTGCGCAAGCCCCCGTCTGGGCTGCACACCCGCCTCCTGACCCCACTTTCTACGTGATTCATAATAATTCATTCATCTGAATTATTTATTTGCAAATGTTCCCCACACATTTCGTGGCCATTTAGTTAATTCAGAAGCTACTTACCTGCTCTGCCTACCACATGGGACATCTCAGGCTTCCAGCAGGATGAATTTGGCACATGCTTCATTACATACAGAGCTCTGTGGCATCTTAGTCTTTCCTCTGGAAGCTTGGGAATGGCACTGAAATTGGTGGCATGGCCAGGAAAGGGCAGGGATGGCCGAGCCCCTTCTGAGGTGCAGGGCTTGGCTCGCAGGAAGCCTTGCTCCCAGTGCAGCCCGGGACGGACAGTGCTCGCCCAGGAGCAGTGCTGGGTGCTGCCCAGCAAGGCCTGCAGCTGCCCTGCTTCTCAAGCCCTTGGATTTACAAACTCCGGGGGCTGCAGGAAACCACAGCTCGGGAAGAGCAGCAAGGGAGAGGAAGGTGAGGGGCAGGGCACGTCCAGCAGTGAAGGCCATGGTGGTGCCTGGCGCTCAGCTTGGCCCAGGCTGGGGCAGAGCCACCAGCGTGAGGCAGCTTCCCCAGGCGCTGGGCGCGGAGCCAAGGCAAGGGAGCAGTGGGCCCATCCCTGTCCCYGCTGCCCAGAGAAGGTCCTCCCGTCTTCAGCCAAACCCCAGCGAGATGCCTGCAGCCAGGGTAAGGTGGCACCTCTCCCGCCCTAGGGCTTCAGCCTTTAGGTCTTTACCCAGGCCTTACTCATGGAGTGCGGGGATGGGAAGGGTGCAGGGAAGCATCCTGAGGTGTTTGCGATGCCCCCAGGGTGAGGGAACAGGGATCAGGAAACCGCAGCTGGCCTGGAGGAGCAGAGTAACAATCTTCACTCCTGCCCAGGAGCTGGGAGCCCATCCGAGGAAGCTACAGCCCCTCTCTGGGGAAGACTTTTTGTTATAGCTCTTTCYAGAGGCTGCAGTAACAGCAACTAATCTCTGTCAGAGCCAAAGAACTGGCTTCTTGTTTGTCTGCTTCTCATTGGCCTCTTCATTAAGCAGCACTTTTACAAGGTGGGTCTGTACCTGCTGCTAAAAAACCCTGTCCATCTTCTGTGAGGAAAGATAAGACCCATTAAAAAGCACTTTCTCCCACCTTGGCTTAACTGACAGCGCCCTTCAGGCTCTGGTTACACACGAGATGAGGGACAGCCCTACCAGTTCTTCAAATCACTTGTGACTCAAGACATTTAGATACATTTTCTACCATAAAAAAGACCTTAATTCCTTGTCAGTGTTGCTGGGGAAGGACAAAAGAGCCAAACCAGCGCAGGCAGGAGTCCGGAAGAGCAGATGAGGCAGTGAGGCACAGCACGTGTTAAATATCTTTATGAAGTCAAATCTTATTTACATGGATACAGATTCACTTTACAGACAGTTTAATCAGGAGGCAATGCGTGCTTTATTTCAGCAAATTAAAAAGGGCAAGACTATGACATTTCCTTGTTTAACTAGTCGATTAGTGAGTGGGCTTGATGGTACCTGCAAGTTATAACTAGTAACAGCCGGCTACAGTAACCATGACAATACTCACTGCAAGAGCTTGACTCCATCTGGAAAGAGCCAACCACTTCTCTTGTATTCTCACACAAGTAGGGACAGTAAGACAATGATTCTTAGACCAATCATTTACACTGTTTTGCCAACATTAAAAAAAAAAAAAAGGAAAAACTTTGCCCCAAACTGGAAACAGGCTTGGTGGTAATGAAGCATCATCACTGAACTCTGCAGCCATAAAGGTTTTCCAAAGAGCTGATGCAAAAACTTGTACCAGTTTCAAAGCAACAGCCCTTGCATGGTAACTTTAGTTAACACTGGAGGGAGGGGAAACCTGAGGCAAAGTGCAGATCCCATCACTGCTCTCTGTGCAGGAAATCAGCAGGAGTAGGAAACCCCAGGTGTGCTGATGAGCCCACTCTAAGCAGTGCACACGACAGCTAGAAGGGCACGGGACGTTGCCATGAAGACAGGTCTAAAGTCACTGCTGCACCAAGTCTCCTGGCACAGAAGCAGCAATAAGCTCACCACACATCCAGCACTCAGAAGGGCACCCAAGTGAAAGGGGTCGTCTTGAACTCCATACAGCAAACTGCTTTACTCTGGGCTGGAAGGACAGCTTTTATTACAGTTTTCCACTGTTCTGGGTTCTAATTAATATCTCAATTTTAATTTTAGCAGTAGGACTACAGGAATCCAAGTGAACTTCCAGCAGCAGTAGGAACTGAGGAGCAACTTTGAGAAGCGTCTGTGCCACTACTGCAGACAGCACTTTCCTTCGTTACCATTTCCTAGGACAGCAGATGGGTGTTGGTGCCTCAGTGGTTTGTGGCCTCTCCAGCTGGGATTCTCATTGTGCTGCTCTTCGACATCCTTTGCTCTCCAGAACCCACTGCCTTGAGAGGCAGCTGCTGGCTCCTAGTTCCCAGTGGAACGTTTCCCTGCAGTTGAAGGAAAGGAAATGTTCAACACTTCCTGAGCGAATCGCTCGAAGACACGCAGATCCTGCAGAGGTTGTTTTGCAAGTGCAGGAAATAAAAAGCACCTCCCCGGCTGCCTTCAACTTGCACTTTGCTTACCAGAGAGAACTGACAAGTTTGAAGAATCTTATTAACTGCCTAAAGTGCAAGGAAGCTGAGCCCCTGCAGTCCAAGACACCGCAGCCTGTCCTGGCTGAACAGGTAGTTTCAAGTCCATGGTGCTCCCCTCACAGCAGMTCAACACTGACTAAATGGCAGCTGCAGCGCAGAGTTACAACGTGGCGCTCAAGTTGTGCACCAGGGACTCTATTATACTTTAAAACAAAGAAATCTGGGATACAACCACCGAGGCTGTGCTTTGCCAGGCRGTGTTCTAGGCTGCTGTGCAGTGGCAGCTTCACTAGCTAATGGGGCTGGTTCCCTTTTGGATCAGGTGCAGTCCCCGAGTGGGCCAGYACTCCAGGAAGCAGAGCTGCAGCAGTTAAAGGTAAGGGCCAGGCAGCTCCTTGAAAATGCATCCAGCATTTCCCTTTCTGTAGCAGCCACAGGGTAATTCAGTCCGTGGATTTTTGCTCCAGGTAGCACAGGACAGCTAGGGCTGTTCATACTAGTGGCTGGAAGGCCTGAGGCTAAGGGAGAAGCAGTTCTGTGCCTTTGCTTCCTCCACTGCCCAAGAAATGCCAGTTCTGCTTAGYGTGAAGGGAAAAACAACAATAAAACACAAGAGGCTTCCTACCTCAGATGGGGTATCAGGAGCTAAACATTTTCTTAAGTTTGGTAAAGAATCCCTCCTTGTTCTCCTCAGCCTCAGGCCTATCCTCGCCTGCGTCAGCGCTAGCCGTGGCCCTGCCACCTGGACACAAACAGCAAAGGCTGCGGTCAGATTCATTCCCCAGACCACTCCAGCTACGTCTCCCACCAGCAGTCAGCACCCTAAACAAAGTGACAGGGTTAATATAGCCTGGGAGGGGAGGGCGGAAAGGTCTGAAGTCTTTGGCTTTGCAGCATCCTCATGTACAGGCACCTCCTGTGCCTCATGTGCCAGGAGCACCAGCCAGCTATGCTAGCAGGGACTCCTGGAATGACAGCAACGCAGAGCCCAGAGCCCAGAAGTGGAGGAAAAGAACATTAGCCCAGGTAAGACTCTTCCCTTGCCCTCTGYGGAGCCCTCCAGCTGACCGAGGGAACAAGGTTTGTGCAGTAAAGGCAGGGGTCCCCTCCTCTGACAGTACCCAGACCTTGGACAAGTGACGGAGTTTCACTGGGATACATTAAAATATAATTCCTGTAAGAAACATCTCTTTAGTTTATGTTGCTTAGAAAGTCTCCAGATAGAATGAAAAAGGTCAGAAGTATTTCAGAACAAGTCCAGATTGGATTTTTAGCTGGTATTGATCAGCTATTTTTACTCTATAGACAAACCCCAAGATGATTTCTGCCTGAAAAGTGGCTACAGCTGGAACGAGAGAGATCACTTTGCTTTTTCTACAGTAAAAGCATCAATAACAGAATTGTCAAATCCTTCTCAAGCTTTCTTTACACATAGAGAAAGCAGAGTCCAGTGCTCCCCATCTTCCCACACTGAACTCCCGAGTTCGGACTGATGCAATGGTATGAAATATTGCAGCCTGTGGCAAAACAGCACTGCTCAGTTTATGTTCTGCTTCCCAGAACCAAATTCCCACCCTCAACAGTAACTGGTCTCTGTACTATAAACTACTAAACTTGTTTATAATCCACCTGCTGCGTAAGTGTGGTCAAACCTGTCAATTTTATGTTTGGAAGTCCAATCTGTACTGCATTTTTCCCCCTCGATACATAAACATCTTTAAAAATCTGTGCTGAAAGACTTGCTTAGAGATCTCTCCCCTTTCCCCCAAGATTCACCTTTAAGGCTTACCTACACTGGAAAAGATATCCCATTAACTTCCATATTATGAAAGCTCTATGGAATATAATGCTGATAAATGTATGTCACACACCTTTCCAATATACTGAACTTTCCTGCGGCAGCCTATATTCCTCAGGATTTGTTATCTGAAATAGAGAGGACTTGAATTCCCAGATGTCACCTTTGCTTAGCTGTACACAGTCTTAAGTCCCTTTTAGGTTTCTAACATAAAAATAGATCACAGCCTAACAAAGAAAATCACAGTTCCAATGCAGGAGGAAAAAAACCATCTCCAGTAGCAAAGAACAAAGCTCTTGCTTTGATGTATATGTTCTACCATGTACCTTATGCCTTTAGCTCTTATGCCCGATAAGTTTCACTGAGTTAAAAGTACCTTTTTTTTTCTTCCATGCAACAAAAAAAAAGTCTAACCTGGAGCTGCAAGGGCAGCTTTTTACAAAATTTCCACTGACCTCAAGCCCTTCACTGTGCTCAGTGCTGCATAGTGACTGGAGCCAACATCCAGCAATAACTAGTATTTCTGTCCTAGACTCTCCAATAGGCACTAAGCAGAACTTACAGTGATGCTGACAGCAGTATTTCCATTCTGATTTTAAGGAGTAATTTAGAACCCAAACGCCAGGGGCACCATGGACATCTTCAATCCCAAAGAGCTATTCTGGGTTCTCAAAACTAGTGACAAATGACAGAGGAAACTCCGAGGTTTTGTAAAGCTGCCCGCTGAATCTCACTGCAGTTGTTCGGGACATTCCTGGCAGATAYCCATGGCATTCCTGTGCTGAAAATGACTGCTTCGTGGGGGTCAGAATTAAGAAGCATTCCCACTGAGGACAGGAGTGAGTGCTGAGAACAGATTAGCTCCCTCAGAGCTGAGCTGAAGCATATTCCCTTCCACCTCTGCTACTGAGACAAGTTACTTTGGCACAGGGATAAAAGCAGGCAGCTCAGGGCATTCCTTRCCAGATCTTGTTGAGGCTCTGGGCTATCTTTAAGGTAACAGTACTGCTCTCCATTCATGCCCAGATTTGCCCTGTAAATACTGCAGTGATGCCCTCTTTATGCTATAGCCTATTACTATCTCTGCTTTATGCTACAGTCTATTACTATCATACCAGTAAAAAGACCTCTTGAACTAAGATGTTCCCCTTGAATCCTCAGGAAGCATCCTGCATTCCCACACCAGCTCTGGGAGAAGGGGGGCTAATTCCCCCTACTTACCTGATGATGTGTTGGTGACGCCGTTCACTGTGCCTTCCACATCTGCCTCATCCTCAGCATAGCTCATCATTAAAGCCCTCTGGCGATCCGTCAACCTTCTGCAGGCCAAGACAGAGATGGTTGGTCACCACCATCTTTAGGGAAGATGGTATCTATAGGCTTTCCTAATCTGGCAGCACACACAAGAGGCAGCTACTGGAAGTACAAGATTAGTACATCTGAAATACACGGGGAATCCTTACGATGCTCTTAATATGAGCACTCTATAAAGGATAACCCTTAGGGAAAGAGGAGTGATATGATCCACTGCATTTCACTAGCTGCTGCAAAAAAAAATCTTTTTGTGTGGAGTTGCAGCAAAATCCACATGGGGCAAGAAGAGCTCAGGAAATAAGTTCCCCAGCTGAGTGCAGCAACACAAACTATAAAGTTTCTTTCACAGTGGGGCAGGGGTTCAACAAGCAGTCTGGAGAGTTTAGTTCCTTTAAGGCACAGGGGATACTGATTTGYATTGTAGGTGCTGGCATTTGGATTGAAGCAGCAGATAGTAAGGCCAAGCTGCAGGTGCAGAGCTGCTTACAAAATTCCAGGCTTTAGGATTCTTTCAGCTGGCTTCCCAAATTGGGCCTTTGTTTTAATAACCAAAACTCACATAAAAACAAAAAGCAGTGTGAGAAATTAACTAACTGGCATCTGACCAAAGAACACTCAAAGCAGATAAAGCAATGAGACATTTTCACAAGATTTCTCTGTTTTTTTTTTTTTTTTTTGCAAGGAGTTCAGAATTTCACAGGAATTTGTATTATATTTACTTACTGAGGAACTTTTATCTTTATGTGAATGTAGTGGTCTCCGTAGCCATAACTATTAACTTTGGGAATGCCTTTCCCACTCATTCGAATTTTCTGGTCTGGCTGAATACCAGGGGGTATCTGTGAACACAGAGAGTCAAGTTTATTATTTATGTATTTCTATAATATTTATTTCTAAAGCAGGTTCCAAAATAGGACTGGCAAGTTTGTTATGTTCATCCATTTGGACACATTCAGAGACTGTCTGAAAAAGCCTGAAAAATGAAAATGCTGAAAAAGCTTTTGAAAGAAAAAAAATCAAAGAACTCATTATAACTTAGAAGACTTTAGATGGGACTTTTCACTCTCTCCAGTACAAGATGTAAGTAATTGTAGAGAAAGGCTTTACTCTGTCCTCCTCAGTTACCAATGTACTGTGATCCTTTCCTTATGAGCAAAGAGATAATATCCAGTGTTGCTGAGACAGGCATGTAATGCCCCCGACCAAAACAAAACAAGCTGATATATGGACCTACCTGGATGGACAATATTTGCAAACATACAGAAACAGGCCAGTGTATCCAGGAGAATCTTACATAGATGACACTAACAYAATCCCAATTTTCCCAGCACTCAGTCTGCCATTTTTAGCAATGCTTTGGATGTCCAGCAATCCACCCAGCCCTTCCTTCGCCTGTCACTACACAGKGATATGAAAGGAGATGTGACCAAGCAGGTCACAAATGACCTGAAAGTCAATGCTCCAGAAGTGTAAAACTTGACACTAGCAGACTCRGGAGATTTACACCATGTTTTTCTTGCCTACATTATGCTACACAGCACAGCTCTTCCACATAACAGAACTTACCGTGATATTGATCGTCTCATACAAGCCTTGACACCTGGCTGTACCTCCCAGAACAGCCTGTGCTACTGAAATGAGGAGGTCTGAATGGATATCTGCTCCATTTCTTCTGAATACAGAACTTTTCTGAACCTAAAAGACAAGCAGTTCCAAAGAACAGTGAGCACAATACAAAGTTCTCATTGCAAACTGCTTTCAAAGTTCTCAGAAGCAGAGACACCAGACTGTTGTAGTCAGACCCTTTGCGCTCCACAGATGGCATGGCTAAAAAGTTTATGTTTAGTCACTTAGAGAAAAATAGGTATTGAAGGTATTGACATAACCTTAATTAGCTAGAGGCTTAGGAGCACATCTGCTTCCTATCTCAGCAACTGTCTCCCCCATCCAGTTTGTTAATTTATCAGTGTCAGTGCAATTCTGTGGATGGCAGAGAAGATACTGTCCTGCCCAGTACCCTCAATGGGGAAAGCCAGGAAAGGCAGGTAAGCACCTTGGCAACAGTATCACAAACTGGAAGAGAACTAAATTCTCCTCCACCACAGCAAAGGTGCTGAAAAACTTTTCAACAGAGAGGCATTCAACAGGATGCAGCAGTAGAGGGCTCCAGCTACACAGGATGTGCAAATCAGCACTTGAAGTGTCCTTTTCCAAACACACATCACCAGTGCGCTCGTGAGGGCATTCCTGCAGCTCTGCTCACTGCTCACATCAGTGCACGCAGACAGCTCACGTCTCCAGCTTAAAGATGGGAGGCCAGCTTAAARAKRGGAGACATCAAGAACCCRCTATGTATTTTGATGCATATTACCYTAAAGCCTCATCCCACACCACAGTCCAATTCTGTATGAAGAAATTTAACATTCCACCATTTGTTACAATGCACATCTGCTATCTCCGAAAGTTCACATGGATCATATTTCTTCAGCTGTTTGAAAGGATCACTTGCTCTTTCTCCTCCTGTTTCCCACTCAGTCAGACTTCCCAGCAATTGTGAAGAGAACAAGCAACCCACGTAAGTAATAAAAGCAGCTTACGACGTAGCATGATACGTACCCTGAATGTAATAAAAATTTCTTTCTTTCCCACAGGCATTCGAACGGTCTGTCCATCTTCAACACCTGTGGTTAGGAAAAAAAACAGGAATTGTTATCCTATTTTACCTGGTGCTATATTCCATATGTTACGTAAATACCTGCAAGCTTTCTGTTCCAACCTCTTGCCATCCCCAAAAGCCTGCCACCACAGCAGCACCCGCACCTCCAGGAGCACAGGGCACAGCACCTACCAGCAGGAAGCACAGTAACACTCTGCACAGGAGCCAGGAGCTGTGGCCAAAGGAAGGAGGTGTCAGTGCACGTTTAGAGCTCGGGTCTGGTCACTAAGGTGCCAGGCAGAGGAGCTTCCCTACACAGGCTCATTACGGCAAATCCTACCAAATTCTTCTGGGAAGTAAGAAACCAAGGGACCCTGGACGGCCTCCATAAGCTACAGTAGAATTACCCATTGCTCACCCAGGATGGTCCTGAAGAAGCAAATTTTCAGCCCCACTACCTGTATTATCTTCTTTTTCTGAAACAGGCCAACAACCCACTCTCTGTGAGCCAAATTAAGGCTTTGAGGATTTCCCTCTCCAACTTTCCTTTCGGATCAAAGAGTCAAGTCTTTTTACAGTTCCACTCTTCAGCATCTGCCCTAGAAGAATCCATGCAAAATACAAAAACCGCTTCCTAAGAAGGGCACATATTTTTATCTACCAGATATGAACCCATCACCAGAATGCACATCTTACCACTAATCCTTTCAATCCCCAAGCTATCAATCCTCATTTTTCTTTAGATAACTTCTCTGCAACAAAGCTGCTGTACATTGCTCTGACATTTTGTCAGCGAGCAGCCAGGCTCTAGAGGCAGTTAAGCTTCAACTTGAACAGAGGGCAGCGCACAAATGCAACACTAACCAGCTGGCACGGGAACCATCACCGTCTTCTTCTGCTTGGTCTGTCCTGTTCCTCGACACAGCAAACACGGGGTTGTTACAACGGAACCACGACCACCACATCGTCTGCACGTAGATCGCATCACGAAAGGACCAGTATTTATCGTTTCCTAGCGAAGGAAACCCAAATTGGATAAACGTTTGGTACAGCTACTTTTGTCTTCATTTCCACAACACCCTTGGCAGTGGCCCAGCATATGCGAGTCCTCCTAGCTGCACAGGCAGCATGACAGGGTTCAAGGACGATATCCTTTAGTAAGGGCTAGAGCAGAAAAATGGCTCAGAAATCCTGTGARGATAGTGCTTAGAAAAGGCTGGAACAGACGCTTTTTGATGTGTATTTTGAAGAACCCAAAGATATTAACTCCCATTAATTTCTACCAGTGCTCAGAAGAGAGTCATRGAAATTAACTATGGATGGGACAATCATCTGATGGCAGCACATGAGGAAATGATCACAGTGTCCATGTGCCAAATACACCTGCTTTGCAACCAAAGGTAGTCTGGCCACAGATTGCCCTTTGGTGCCTATTTTGATGTATAGAAATGGAGAGCCTCAAGACTGATTTTTAACTTCTTGATAAGTAACATTCATCTTGTTATTTCATGATTATCCTTACACTGTCGTTACTTTCCTCCTATCCTCCCGTCTCCTCCCCTCCCCTAAAATTTCTCAATTACTATCCAAGAATTTCAGAATTGTTACATCATACAAATATGGTATATCAGGCATGTGATACCAGATGATCTTCCCGTCAAGGTTATCATTTTCAGTTATCCAGAAGACATGTTCAAAATATTCCTAGTATATAACAACATCAAACCCTCATCTATTAACCTAGCTTCACCCAAGATAAGCTGATGATTATAGAAAAGGAATATTTTCAACGTGGAAAGCACTATCTTGGCCCCCAAAACCACAGGAGAATGTGTCYCTCAAGAAGCACTTACCATGCCAGTACCATTGCAGTAGTGACAGCGCTGCACTTTGGTACCAGGCTCGTGCCCTCTCCCATCACATCGCTGACAGGAGTCGTTGATGTTCACCACTATCTCCTTGTTAACGCCCTTGGCGGCTTGAGTGAAGGTCAGTTCCATGATATACTGTATAGGAAACATGAGTATCAATCTATAATGCATGATATGTGATGGCATCCTAAGCAGACAAGTCATTTTAGGTCAAATATCAAACACTGCTTAAAATCTATCCCCATAATGGAGTGTGGGAGGAACAGACAGGCACACACATGTTCTGTCTCATTTCAGCAAACAATGACATGTCTCACTTAACTATGAAGCAGCTACAGAAGAATAGCAAACATACAGAAATGATTATTATACCAGTCAGATGAGCAGTTTTTCAATAGAAATGACATTTAAGACTAGAAATGAAGACAATAAAATAGAAATCACATATTTTTCTGCTCTTTAGAAGAAACAATCATAATTAAAGAAAAATACATTACTGTCACTGGTCTTATTTAGTGGGAAAACATCAAYAATCAGTGTGGAATCTTCTAATGCCAGTTAAAGTTCTCTTTAACTTAACGCTCTTCCTCAGTTGAACTCTTTACTGGGCAAGGAGAGTAATCAGCAAAGATCTTCTGCTACCTCTTGGTTATCTTCCCACAAAATAGAATATTCTTAGAAGATTCTGCTTATAATAAACCCAGAGGCCCTAAATACCAGACATGTTTCTTAAGTCAAATCAAGAATACCCAAGAGTGCATTTAGCTGCATTACAAAGGAAAAACAAAACCTCCTTCTCACATTTAGGCTTCATTACAATGTTAAGCCAATTAAACAGTCAAATCAAAAGCTGGAAGGCTCGTTTTACAGTTAATAGTTATKCTGTGGCTTGCAGCATTAAACTACAAAACAGACATATGTAGATCAACTTGCAGCCTATACAATGGTGAAAATAGTTCAGCAGCATTAACAGGTGTCAGAACACACCAGATGAACCAGTTGTAATCCAGAAAATACATTCCATCTTTATCTGGAAGCACAGAGCTTACAGCAGAGATGTGATTTGGAATTGGAGGCCAACCAGCATCCGCACGATGGGACACGTTTGCATGTGACATACCCAGAAACAAATCCTTTGCTTAAGCTTACAGGCAGAACAGTGAGTAGCAGACTAATACTCCACRTATTTCCATTTTTTTTCCATCTCATATACTCAGAAAATAAACCTATTTCATCCATACCTCCTGCGGCTGGTCAAAGACACTCTGAAAGTCTCCAAAGGAGGATCCTGAAAACTCCCCAAAGATTTTTCTGAAAAGCTCTTCTGGATCAATTGAGGGCCCGCTGCTCCAGTACTGGCGCCCAGTACCTGCTGTTCCAGCATCAAACCCAGCTGTACCATAAGCATCGTATTGTTTCCTCTTTGCTTCATCACTTAATACCTTTGAGGTTAAAAAAAAAGAAAAAAAATACCCTGAGGACACTGTAGGGATCTACAGCAACAATGCTAGTCCCAGTCAGCCTGTATTTACATAGTCACATCTCTGGGAGAGCCCAAGGCTCTAGACAATACCCACCCAAGCCCATTCTCCAACCACCTTCATGACACTAGGAAGGCTACCCCAGCAGTCACAATCAACTGGTCTATCAGAAAGCCTCTTCTTCCATCATTCTCTCGTATTGTTGGGAAAAATGACATGATTTCGCTAAATCATAATAAGCAAGAATAGTTTACAGTATATATTAGATCACTAATATATTGCATGAAAGTTAGCAGCACATGCTGGAATAAATTTGAAAATCTACAAGGAGTCAAAACCAGCATAAAAAGACTTCTGAGGAAGCTGAAGAGCAGGATGAAGCGGTAGCTGGGGCAGAAGTGGGAAGCAAAGTACCTTTCTCTTAAAAAAATTTAGTGACTAATAACAGGGTTTTTGCTTTATGTGGACCGGCGATTCCACTGCTATCATCAGCTTCCCCATCTATTCCAGTCACTCCTACTGAGAAAGGCCACAAACTCAAAAAGATCAAAACACATTGAACTAAATTAGATATCTGGGCTGTAGAGTAACTTCCCAGAGGTAATAAAGGCGCCACTGGGGCAGGTACCCTGCTCAAGGCTAAAATACAAGAGATGAAACAATAGTGACAGTTTTGCAGAAAATTCACAGAAGGAGAAGACTTTTCCCCCCACCTACTCCAAGGGTTGTTCCARACCTTCCTCCTTTTCCCAAGGATAAATCCTGTATATTAATTACCTCATAGGCCTCTGCCAGCTGAGAGAACTTCTCTTTAGCTTTGGGATCATCTTTATTCGTATCAGGATGGTATTTCTTTGCCAGCTAAACAACAAAATTAAGAGACAGAGTGATTTGCTTTAGCATATCTCACACACTAGGAAAAGAAAATACGCATGAGACGGAGCTTGGTATTCAGCATCTCTACCTTAGGGAACTAAAAGCACTCACTGTCTGTGTCATCTCACTGCAAGGAAACAACAGGTCACCCCAGTTGACTGCTACGTGATTCCTGGGGTAAAAGTCTTGCTGTAGAGAGGCCCGAGAGGTGACAGCGCAGAGCACACGTGCAGGGAGCACACCCCTTTGAAGAGATGCCCGCATCTAGACAAGGGGTCCCCACGTTCACACAGGGGTTAGCTTGCCTACCCCTGGACCAGTGTTTGTCTCCAGTGGGTCCAAACAGAGGAAACGGGCTTCATTTTTTTCCCCAGTGAACTTAAAGCAACACTAGTAACAAAGATTCTTTAGGAAAAAGGGAATTAAAAAAGTGTTTCCCTGAACCTGGGCCCTTCAGGGCTTCAAGGTCTGCGCGTGGCAGGGGCGCTGCGAGCTGTGCCCGGCCGAGGGCCGTGCCGGGATGCTCCCGGGCCCCGGGGCAGCGGGAGCGGGCCCGGGGCGGCGGGACGTGCCTGGTAATAGGCCTTCTTGATGTCCTTCTGCGAGGCGCTGCGCGGCACCCCCAGCACCTGGTAATAGTCCTCCTTGGCGCGGGCCGCGGCGCTGCTGTGGAAGGCGGCGGCRGGGAGGCGCCGGGGCCCTGCGAGACAAGGGGGCAGAGGGGACACGGTCAGCGCGGCGCC